CAGATAAACCTACTAACTCTTGACCTGCCGAAGAGCCCTCCTCCCACCCAGCCTTTGTCTACTGTAGGGTATTGTCTAAATTCGAAACCGTGCCTTTCCCAAGGGAAAGGCATCAGCTGTGCAGCTATTTTTCTGGATCTTGCTTCAGCACTAAAATCTTTTAAGAACCAGATGGTCAGCGAACAAAGTATGTTTGCTCCAGAGAGGTGGACTCGCAACAGAAGCGTTGATCGGTGATCATTACTGAATGCTAGATTCTAGTTGCCTGCCATCAAAATTTTGGATTTTCTTTTTTATGAAATATTAGAAATTTAAATTCAATTTACAGTGTTAGAGCTGTCACTTGTAGCTAAAATGTTGATGATCTGTTGCCTAGTCATAAGCATTTACAAAGCTTGCAAACCAGAGATCCACTGAAACATAGAGCAATACATGGAAATATGTGAGGATCACTTTCCATTGTGCTACCTGTGTGTGCATCAAGCACACAAAGCTGACTACTTCTGTGTCTGAGATGAGTTTCGGAGGCTGTTATTAATTCTGGTACAGGTTTATGGGGTTGCTGTTTTCCAGATTTCCTGACTTGTAATTCTCGCAGTCCCCTGCTGCAACAGTAGTCTGCTAATATCCCAGGTTATCTGGATAATGACATTCTTTTATTTACACTCGCACAAAGACCAGGGGATGTGATCAGAGGCATAACCACAAACGCCATAGTCTTAAAAATCCCACTAGCTGGGGTTTCCGTATGTAAGTAAAGACAGTAACATTCAGGATGCATGCTTCCATAGAGTGATGGAGATGGGGCACCTGATGAGCCCTTAAAAAATATGCTGGATGAAGTTTCCTTTAGATTTACTTAGTGTCTGTATTGAGAAGTTTCTCTAGACTGGAGGTTTTAGATGTGCTTTGATACATCCCAGTGAGCTCTGGCTCCTGATAGAAGTGATTTCATGCAGAGTTACTCAGAATGTTACTTTTCTTTCTCTTTTTGCAGATGAAAACCTACATTTAGAGATAAATTGCAAGGCTAAGAATCTTCCTGAAATAACAGGCAACAGTACGGTGGTAGTTTACATGGTCACTTTTCTTTCCCCATGTATGGGCTCCCACTGCACACAAAGTTGCTTTAGGCCTTCTTCCTCATATATTTTTTTATAAAATATTTATAGGCTTTCTGTGGGAGAGGTTTCAACAGCTGTGAAGTACAGCCAAGAACCTATAGTAGTGTACTTTGTAAGTTTAGTTTAAAGCTATGACTTTATAGATCACATATCTGCATCAGAACAGATCATCTTCCTACACTTCTTCTGGTTTAAAATTTCTCAAAAAATCCCAGAGTTTGCCTCATCCTTTTGTTTAATGTTGCTGCGGGAGAACTGGGAATTTGATTCCTTCACCCAGGTGCTTTTCTCCCCTCTTGTGGTTCTGTGCTACATTTTGGTCATGCAGTGGAAGACAGCTAGGGTTTGGGAATCCTAGGGGAATAATCTTCCCTCTTACAGCCTTTTCTTGCCAGGAGTCACTGTATATTTTACATGGAAAAGCTAATAGGACTGGGTTTTGTGGGGTTTTATCTTTTTCTCATTTTTTTTCTTTTATTTTTTACATAACTTTTCTGCAGTGATTTCTGGTGACCTGCTTGTAAGAGCATCGAACAGGCCTTATTTTAGCATACCCCTACCTTTCAGAAATTTGGTGCCAAATTTACCTTTGTGTGTGCTTGTATTCATGGAGCTAATAATTCAAATGTGTTCCCAGCATATTCCTGAGCTAATATGCTTCTCAGGTATGAAGAATCAGTTGAAAGTGTATGAACTAGTGGTGATGTTTAATATGTCAAATGACACTATAGCCTGACTGGTTTGATGTAAAAGGGCTGAGTTGTACAGACAGCACTTAGAGTAGGAACTATTGCTGCGTATGTGGTACGTTTCTGCCAGGCTGTCCATGTAAAGGAGCTGGGAAGAAAAGTTTTCCTAAGGCCCCAAAGGGTCTTTTCTGCAAAAAGCATATGTTTACATGATGGAGAGGAATGTCACCCAGAGATGGAGGATTATCAGAAAGGGGAAAATCCAGTGAAAATGGGTGCAGACCTGAGTAGGGTTCTGTGGATGTGGGGTACTGAGGGGGAAGGAAGCTATTGGGGAATCTAAGTTAGTTTGTGGAGAGAAGGCAACTGAATGCAGAATTAAAGGGAGTTGCTGGTAAGACGTAGCAGATGATGGAAGATTGTATGTGGAAGAAGCCTCTGGGGAAAGACTGGCGACGATCCAGGCAAAAGTAGACAGGATGAAAATGATAGAACAGTGCAAAAAAAAAAAAAAGTAGTATGTGCAGGGGTGGGAGATTTGTTAGGAGAAGGGGAATGATGGAGAAAGGAGGTTTAGGAAACCAGGAGAGGTTGGAATAGGGATAGGCTCTCATTTCCTTGAAGCTCTAAAGTCCAAGGACAAATTCCTTGAGAAGAGCGCAGAAACTGCATGTAGCGAGATGGTTCTTGTGCCAGAAGTAAGTGACAGACAATGAGATGCTGCCTGCAGTTTGCTGGTTGCTGTCCTGCAGATGCCCTGGGTGGGCATAGCCTTGCCTTGCTCTCTGTACTGTTTGTGTTCCAGCTTTTCTTACTTGCTTACTCGCTGTATTTGTTTTATTGAACAAGGTTGTAATTTTCTGGTTTTAGGAAATTTATGGGTGGGAATGAGGAACTGTTCCTGTATGGGCTGTGGCTCACTCCCCATGGCAATTCTCCTCTCCTGTCACTAAATTGTCATATAATTTGATTTTGAGAATATTTCTAACAGGGAACAAATAAGGGAAAACAGATTCCATGGCTTCTGCAAGACGTCACAGTGCATGGCCCGACTGAGATGTTCCTTGCCATACTGAAGACAGTGTACTGTGTAGTCTGGTGTTACCATGTGATGTTATTCTCATTTATTGTAATTTTCACACCTGTCTTAATTGTCTGCCATGACTTAATAAACTTGTGTAGATGGAGGTTCAAGAATCTCATTTTAGTCTCATTTAATCAAGAGAGACAGCTACCTGGGCCCTGGTGTGAGCTCCCTGGTCATGATGTTCATGTAATTGTAGATAGATTTTTCCTTACTCTGAGGTTTTGTCTTACTGTGCTTGATCTTTTGAAGACCTGGCAGTATCTGCTTGCATCTTTCTTAGGAAGCTTATAAGACAAAGAGAGAAGTTGTTACTGGGATCTTTAAGTCTTAGAAAACTGTGAAGTGATTAATATTTGGCTGCTGAGTTGGAAACAAATACATGGCTATTTTGGAAGGCTGTTAGTTCTTTGCTACAAGATAGTGTTAGATAATGTCAGCATATGTTTCCTTAACAAAAGGAGTTCCCTGCCATGGTATCTTTTTTTAATGTATTAGGGGCTTTTGCAGTACTTATCTTTTTTTTTTTTTGCTTGGGAATGAGACTCACTTTTTCCGATTTCAGCAAACGTGATACAATTTACTTTTAGTGGGTTACTGGCATTGTTGCATTGCTTTGAATTACTTTGAAGAGATTTATCTTTTAGGAGTCCCTGCTGAGTGCCTTAGTGTTATGGGAAGGAATACTAATAAACAGTTACTTCCAGGATTAGCTGTTAATCCTTTAATGTTTTTCAAGACATATATATTATGGTTATAAGCCTTTATTTTTTTAGATCTAACAAGCATGTCTTTTAGATCTGAAGCAGGGAAATGGGAGCACCAATCCCCAGGTCTCAGTGATGCAATTCTAAAACACTAAAATTCTAAACAATATCAGAGTTCGTGTGATTTTTTTATTTTCTTCACTCGTGCCCAACAAAGAAAAAAAGAAAGCCTTAAAGAAGGCAGCTTTGTCTTCAAATATATATTTATCAAACAGCAAGGCTTTAAAATTACTTACCATCACTTCAGTATGCAAATGCTGAAAGGCATTTTACATTCCATAATTAGCAAATGCCACTACAGTTTGGATTTCTGTCAGACTTGCAGGCTTAGTCCTCTAAAGCACTGAATATTACTGGTGAGTTGGTTAGCATGGATTTTATATACTTAAAACCTTGCAGGATTGTAGTTTGGTTTGCCTGTGTGTGTGTATATATATGTATATATGGATATTTATATATTTAAAATGTTTGGCTTCATATTCTGCAAAGATGCGAAGCTATGCATAATATGTTTTTAAATATGGAGCAATACATTTTATTAAATTATGGAGGGAAAATAAAACAAGGCTTTATTCTTTGTGCCAGCAAACTGGAGGGAGGGGATGCAGTGTAACACTGTGTTCAGCACCTGAGCTCTGGACAGCGGCATTTGAAGGACCAAAGAATTGTACATTCAGATTGTGGGATAGAAAGCAAATTAAACGTGTTATTCTTTGTGTTATGGCATACTCTGGTGCCATGTTGGGATCCACTTGAGATCCTGGTATTTTATGTAATATTTTATGAACTATTAGTAGGCCTGCTTTATAACAATTAAAATTATTTGTTCACGTGACAAAATAAAATCTAAGCTTAAATGAGAATACTGACAAAATGTGCTTTATGTTCTGAAGAACTATTAAAAAAATTACATCCTGAACAATAATTTTAGCATCCCAAACTTATAAATGAGTTTTGAGTGACTTAATGTCAAGAAGTTGACATAGATGAAACGAAACTGTCTCTGTACATGTATTTTTCTGTGGATGCATATTACAGGTTGTAGGGTACTCATATAGTTTGTAGAATAGTGGACTACACAAATTTTATTGAAATCAGTTGTGCCAAACCACATCATTAAAGAGGATATTACTGCATTTTGAAAAACTTCGTCCATGTACTTCTTAATATGTGCCTTGAATCCACTGTGAGGACAAAAATTCACAGAAACCAGTTGAAATGTAATTGTTGAAGCAGAATTTTGTTTTCTTGTTTCACCTGTGGGGTTTTTGTGTGTATTGGTTTTTTCCCTCTTTGAGCTAAATGAAAATAATGACCTTTTTCTTTTTGTTTCTAGGGGTTGATACAAAATTGAAATTCACTCTTGAACCATCTTTAGGTCAGAATGGTTTTCAGCAGGTAATTTGATTCATTTTCCTCTTGAGTTTGTGAAGGACTGTGTTCTCTGCAGTCAAGGTGCTTGCCCTAGTTCAGAAGTGCACCTGTCATCATAATGTCAGCATATTATTTGCAATTGCATCAAAAACTATTCCATTCATATTCAGAAAATGCAATAGGCTTTCATTGTTTACTCGAGTCTTTGAGTCCAAGAATGTAATACTTCTGTTACATCATTAAGTAATAAATCTATATTTTCCCTGTGAGTGGATTAAGCAGTTAAACTCTGAAATATGTGCAGTAAGATGAAATGAATGTGCGTGTCTGCAAGGTTGTAAATGTTGATATACTGTTGCATTAAACTAATGATGAGTTTCCTACATTTTTGGATGCTTTTGCTTTTAGTGGCATGATGCGCTCAAAGCAGTGGCCAGACTGCCGACAGGCATCCCAAAGGAGTGGCGGAGAAAGGTAGGTACACCTGCATGCTTTGTGGGCCATATTGCCTGTAGGTTTCTCAGGACAGGTGAATGACATCAATATTATCTGTTGGGATATTTTTTAACAAATATTTGGACCTTTTAAGTTGTACTGAGGATTTTGCCTGGTTTACATTCTTCACTGATAACCTTGCAGGACAGCTGGAGAAACGGAGGTGACAGTTAAAGATGGTGTTTTCAGTGGTCGGGTTCTTTCTGCTTGAGGCTTAGGTAACTTAATCTGGTGCAGATATTATTGCTTCATTCTGTCAGTCTCAAGGAATCGCTCTGGTGAAACTGCTCCCACAGCTGAAGATAACTGAAAGGAGAACAAATCTGCAGTGTAGGCTGTCACACTTACGGAGGTGAAGTTGATAGATGTTAATGCTGGCAGAATGCTCATAGAAACATTTGATGGGGAAAATGAAGATTGTGTAAATTAGGGAAGTTCAGAGTCAGGAGTGATACAGAATGGCAGAGTGCACTATTAGTGGGAAATTACACTGAGTTAGTGTTGTAGGAAAGGGTCCATTGGGAATTTGCTAAACTTACTTTATTGCTTTCTTCAACAATGTTTGAAGTTCCCTAGCATAAAAAGAGGCATGTCTATTCAGCTTTTCTTTAAAACTGAGTCACACAATCTCAGCTTTAAAAACACTATTTTAATAAATAGAATAATTTTTAAGCTTTATAAAATATATGTATTTCCATACATCTTTGATGCATCAGCCTAAATTCCTTTTTCAGTTTTCTTTTTGCTGTCTTTCCAACCTGAACTGCATCTCCTTACAAATCAGGGGAGAAGGAAGCAGAAGACTTAGTGGCATTGTTTTCCTCACACCACTATGAATTTATTTTTAACCTACAACTAAAGTGAATCGTTATATCCATCTAACAGCCTTTTTTCTTTCCTGAAATATTCTTTTCCCATGCTCTAGAAAGTGTCCAAGACACTTTACTGTGGTACATGAGTGGCACAGGTTGCAGAATCACAGAAGGACTGAGGTTGGAAGGGACCTTGGTCCCTTGGTTGGAGGTCCTCTGGTCCAAGCCCTCTGCCCAGTCAGGGGCACCTAGTTGCACTCTGCCCAATCAGGGGCACCAAGGAAGGAGACTCCACAACCTCTCTGGGAAACCTGTCAGTGCTCTGTCACCCTGACGGTGAAAAAGTGTTTCTTGATGTTTGGAGAAAACCTCCTGTGTTTCAGTTTGTGCTCATTATCTCTGGTCCTGTCATTGGGCACCATTGAGAAGAGCCTGGCTTTGTCCTTCTTGCACCCTCCCTTCAGGTGCTTATCCAGGCTGTTAGGATCCCCCCTGAGCCACCTTCAGTCTGAGTGATCCCAGGTCTCAGCCTTTCCTCTTGGGAGAGATGCTTTGCAACTGGGTGGTCCCCAGCATATACTGCTGCCTGGGATTTTTTTCCCCAGATGCAAGACTTGTTGAACTTCTCGTTGAACTTCATGAGGCTCTTTTCAGACAATTTCTGCATCCTATTGAGGAGCCCTTGGGCTTAGTGTAATCAGCAGATTTGCTGAGGGTATGGTCTGCCACATCATCCAACTCGGATCTCTGTCTTTTCTTCTTCTGCCTACCCATCTCTGTGTTTGCTCACATATGACCACACGATTCTGCCCAAAGAAGTAGCCTTAAGAAAAGGAATGTGGTCTTTTCATTGCCATTCCCTGGTTTCCCAACGATTTTAAGATAGATACCAAAATAAAGGAAGGATTTTGTGTTGGCAGCATGCTGATTGCCTCCTTTGCTGTCAGCAGAAGGAGCAGGATGACATCTGCATTGTTGCTGTGGCATGTGACATTCGTTTTTTGGGCCTGGCAGAGAGAAAGAATCCAGTCAAACAACACCATAGGATGTCAGCAGAGCCAAAGCTGCTGGGAGGCGGAACAACAGCGTTCCTCTGCATGGTGGCTTTGCAAAAGTGTGGGAAGGGAAATTTAAATGCAGAAAACATGAGATTCTGGGAGCTGTCTATAAATTCCTTCATCATGCAGCTAAGTGTTTAAATCTGTGGGAAGTGTCTAAATTGCTTTTCTCACTTGAGTGAATTAATGGCTGATATAAAACTTGATCAGTTTGCTTTCATGATATCTTTCAGTTACCTGGAGAAAGATCCTTTATTGTTACTTGTTGTCATTGTATGATTTGTCATGTGTCTTTCATGTTTCAGGAATTTTTCAAGTCTTTAATAATGGTCCAGCCTTTGTCATAGGTACACATGCATAAATCTGTTCTGGTAATTATTAGGCTTTCAAAATAGTCAAATTGTTTGTTTCAGAATTCCCTGTAGCACCAACAGGTTAGGAAGCCCTCTTGTAAGAGTAAGTTACTCTGATCTAAGTGATGCCTTTAGATTAATCCCAAATGGTTAATATTAGATACTGTTTCTTCTGCAAAGTTGATCAAAAGAGAATTCTGGTAAAGAGAAGCACTAGCACCTTGAGATTTCTTTTGTGGAGTTTCCAAGAGATGTATCCATGGTTGAGTTTGAGGAAAACCAGCAGCAGTGTTACCCTTTTGTAAAACTCCTTGTAGGTTATGAGGATAGAAAGGCTGAACTGAAAAAGAGGGTCCTTGCCTTGTGCTTCCATCATGGAGGGCCCCTGTGGTTTCAGTGTCTGACAGTGGACTTACATCTTTGTAAGCAGTTCACAGATCTGGACACTTAATGCTGACCTTTTCCTTCCTTTCTGATTTAGGGATCGAGGTATTATTTTAATGGTGCAAAAATTGTTGTAGATATAGTCCTCTTCTGCATATTTCAAGGAGATCATATATGGGTGAAGCTGATGAGGTTAATCTAACAATATATATAAAAACTTTATATTTTAATCCAAGAAATAATTAATTTTGTTGACTTTCTTTGTGTATTTCTAGGTTTGGCTGACCCTAGCTGATCAGTACTTACACAGTATAGCAATTGACTGGGACAAAACCATGCGTTTCACATTCAATGAAAGAAGTAATCCTGATGATGACTCTATGGGCATCCAGATAGTAAAGGTAGCCAGTAATTAATTTGTTGTTGTGGTTTTTTGTAGTGAAAAGTTGAAATTTGAATTTGGTTTTATTTTCTTCTCTGGAACTGCTTTGGCAAAAATTACATCTTAATTCCCTTTGGCCCACCAAAAAAAATTTTTTTTTTGGCCGCTTTGGGCCTTCTGCACTAGTCTTGTTAGTGTCAGCTGAGAAAAAAATGGCTATTAATGATATTTTTTCCTCAATTTTTACTTTTTTTTAATTTTGAAAGAGGTACTGGAGTTTAATGGAGACAAAGAAACATAAATGGTTTTTTTCTTTCTCGCTAAACAAACAAAAAAATTTGAGATTTAAAAGTATGTTTCATAATATAACAATTGAATGTTTTTCAGTTATTTTGCAGGAGTGAAACATGCTTGTCCGTATATATTTCTCAGCGAATGAATGTTTAATATTTAAAGCAGACGGCAGTTTTAGGGAAGAGCTTAAGAGACTTTTATTGCTGCAGTGATTTAAATATTAGTCTGTTTACCTATTTAGGGAGTATTACTCTGTTTGGGAGAGATTGTGTTCTACAGTCGCCCTAATTAGAGTACATGAAGCAAGATACTTTTTGTTCCTGATTATTACAGTTGTTGTCTGTACTTGGTAGTTTAAGCTTATAGATAATACTTACTAAATATTAAACATTGTAGTAGGTGTTTTGCCTTTCACTTATAAATCGCTTAAATCTCAAGGACACGATTTCTGATTTTTGTTTTGAAAACTTAGTTACCCAGTACTTCTTTTATACTTTGATAGAAACAGCTGCTCTTTTTTGTTCAATTAAGCAGCTGTTATGTCTTGCCTCTTTGAAACCCAGAGATCTGTTAATATCTTCTGTGACAACTTTGCATGAACATCTTTTAGGTAACTTGTTTACTTCAGAGCTTGCTGAAACTATTTCTCTTGGCTAAAGGTTTACAGATTAAAAAAGAAGCATTGTCATCAACTTTGAGAGTAGGTATTGGGAAGGCAGAGGTGGAAGGAAAACTGGGATAAGCAGGAGAACTAAAGGAATACACACCTTGTCTGTCCTTGTTTGGTTTGTTTTTTTTTTCTTTAAAGGACCTTCACCGAACTGGTTGCAGTTCTTACTGCGGCCAGGAGGCAGAGCAAGATCGAGTGGTATTAAAGCGCGTTTTGCTGGCTTATGCCAGATGGAACAAATCTGTTGGCTATTGTCAAGGATTTAACATACTAGCTGCACTTATTCTGGAAGTAATGGAGGGCAATGAAGGGGATGCCCTGAAAGTGAGTAAAATATTTTTTTCAGTGTTGAAGATTGCTTTTAATTAGTGAACTTCAGAATAAGCCAGTAAATGAATTTTGTAGTCCGCCTAAAAGAGCAGCACTCAAAGGAGTTAACCAGTTTGTATCTGCAGATTTTTTTTTTATCCTATCTGAAATGAACAGTTTGAATGTTATCACTGTTAATTTTTTTTTCCAACAGAAACAAATGAGGGTTTGGCTGTGATAAAATAATAAAAATTAATGAAATAATAATTAATAAAAATAAATGGCAACACTGCTACTTGCTTCAAAATATCTTATTCCGTACTCCCAGGTCTGCTTGCAGACATCAGAGGTAGCTGAAACTTTAAAATTGCAATATCAACCTCTTGTGTGGCACGCAAGGCAGTTAATAAATCTGCTATATTTTAAAGCAAATCCTAGGAAAACATTAAATATTTAAAAGGCAAGTAAATCACCTTGAAACTGATTTCTGGGCTATCTTAGTCATACAGTGGTTTATTTTCTTAGGCCATTTTTTTTCTAATTAAAAGAAAGCTTTATGAGATTTATAGTATGTCAGAAAATGGAAGTTTATTTTAAACTAGGAAGTGGTTTAAGGTTTGCCAAGGTTATGTGCAAATTTCCTGAAGTAAACTCGTGTGTGAGTTGGGGGTCAGATTAGTAAAAGATAACTATGAGTCTTGAGATACTGAGCTGTTTGCCTTAGGCAATGATTTAAATTTTATAAGTATTTAAATTCACTCAGAGCTCCTAAAATTTAAAGCTTGTGGTAGTAGAGTTCAGATAGCTGGTGTTTGTTCCTGCATTCTAGAGAGCTGCCTGTAATAGGAAGAAAATACCACGATATACCTACTTTATATCAAACGCATTATGGTAATATAGGAAATAGGATCACCTGAGGTTTATGAAGTCCCAATTCATTATAAGAACTGTGTGCATCCTTATGTTATTGTATTGTCTTTTATTGTGAGTGGTATTGGGCTCCTTGTGGGAAGGAGACAATGGAATGGTGCCAGACTGCCCCAGGGATATAAAGCACTGAAGGTTGTTTGCACCAAAACAGGTCTTACCTGATAAAAACAAGAATGAAAAATAGTCGTTTCTTCTCCAAACTTAGTGTGTGGGCTTTGCAGGATTGGAATTTTCCCAGAAGAGAGAGGGAAGAAGGAGGAAGGAACTGGGGGTGCGGGGGGAGGAGTAGAAAATAATTGGGAGTTAGTATGTGACTGTTTTGGTGTGGTCACTGCCACCTAAACCAAGTAATGAGTGACTTCAGAACAGCTATAGATGCTGCTGCCTATAAAGGTGCCCTCAGGACTGGAGCTATGGAGTAACTATGTTTGAATTATTGTAGAGTCTAGGAGTTAAAGGAGTAAGGGCATTCTCAGGGCTTGCCAGTCAGGTCCCGTTTCTGGGAAGGACATTACAAACAAAAGCTCTGTGGGAAGTGTCTTCCAGAGGCTGGGAAATGACAGGTACTACTGACACCATGAGGCTTTAACAGCATAGGACCCAAGATGGTAGCTTCAGTGAATGCTTGGTGCTTGAGCCAGTGATGCTTGAGCCTTCACTAGTTAAGGTAAGCATGTTTAAGTTAAATCCCTGGAAGTGCCTTAAAGTTAGCCTACGGAAATTAGGGTAAGCAAGAAAATCACAACTTGCATGTGTAGAAGCTATCAAGGTGTGCATATGAGTCTCATAGATACTGAAACTTAAAAAATATTTTTTCTTGCACATTATTGTGGGGAAATATTACAGAGTCAAATAATAAAAATAAATATGTAGATATGTGTAATGAAGAAAATATCTATTGCAAACTGGGAAATACATGAATCTGCTTTTTAAAAAAGCATTCTCAAAGCAATTTGCACGTTGATGAAACAGAATGAAGTTCTATTGAAGTAAGTGTTGAAAAAAGATTTCTGTTCTTTTCTATGCTTTCATATGTCTGAGATCTGTTAAGTAATATGATTCAGTGAGAAGGGGGCAAAAGCCTTTATAAATTGGTTTCTTTATGGCTTATGTCATAAGTAGTTAATGAAAGCAGAAATAGTATACTTGTAAGTTAATGTTGCTTTAATAAATTATTCTTCCATTGGTTGAAATATATCTGAACAAAATAAAGCATATTTTTACAAGTGCATGGTAATATATCACAGTAAAATATATGAAGAATCTCTTTTTAAAGAACAGTATCTTGCATTCTGGGGAGGGAAAAGAGGTGATTTGGACAATCAGTCTTCCAGCTGTGGCAGTTAACCAGAGAAGGGACCCTGAAACTGTCCCACAGTGTGGAGAATGTCATAAACACATCCAACATCAAAAGTGCTAAAAGTTGCCTTTGATTTGATTAATGCTGCCAATTTGGGCATAGCTTAGTGTGACATTGATTTCAGTCATTCACAGTTCATAAATTCTGGGCAGCCTTAAGAGGCCTTTGCATTTTGATTGCTTGTGAATACTTAAGAGTACTTGTAGATGCTTAAAATTATAATGTTTTCTCCCCATATAAATGGAGGTGCCAGAGGCATATGTTGTCACTGGCTCTGAGCTATTCTTTAGTGAAGAGAACTTGCAAATTCTCTGGTTTTATTTTTATGTTATTCCTAGAAAATAACTGGCTCTGTAAGTCTTACATGATGATCTTTCATTTTCCCACAGATCATGATTTACCTGATTGATAAGGTGCTTCCTGATAGCTACTTTGTCAATAATCTCCGTGCTCTCTCTGTGGATATGGCTGTTTTCCGAGATCTTTTACAAATGAAGCTTCCTGAACTGTCCCAGCACTTAGACACCTTGCAAAGAGCTGCTAACAGAGAAAGTGGAGGTATGTTCAACAGAAAATGCTATTAACTCTGTCTTGCTATTGTTTCATCTGAGCACTGATTTAAAAGTACAGTTTGTTTACATGAGCTTATTGCTTAGAATATATTTTAAATTGTTAAGGTGAAACATGATGGTTTCAGTTATTGATAACCTTAACATAAATAGGTGGTGCTTTCAGGAAAAAAAAAAAGGGGAAATAATTTGGTCCCACCACTAGATGCAAACAGAATTGTGTTGATAAGACTATATAATGCATGGAGTGACAACACTAACACATAGTTTAGTACAAGGGCTATGTTGAAAAGGTCATTTCTTGCCTTAGCTCAAAATACCTGTCCTACTATTGCTCCTTGTAGCTGCTAGCTTATATAGCTATAGGGAAGATTTACAGTGGGAGAGCCAGTGGGGGTAGGTTAGTATTTCTTCACCTAGATGCTTAGCAATACACAGCTGCAAAACTGAAAAGTACGTCTTGGGTTGCTACCTGGAAACAGGCTTTTCACTGTGATTTTTTTTTTTTTTACTGGTGTAGCATTCCCTCCAGACTTTCAGTTTTTTTATTTGGAAGTGTTTTGGGAATCATATTTTGGTTTCTTTGTTAATTGGTTGGGTTTCTTTTTCAGTCAGGAAGCTAAGTGCACTCTGAGTTACATCTTAGAAAAGATCTACTACTATGTTCCATGTGGCTATGTCCAAACTCTAAAAAACAAAGAAAGGGTATCAAGGAAGTATTTGCTGTTTGAAAGTGTTTTCACAGGCCAGCCTCTCTGGTCATGGCCTTCAGCACAACAGTTAATACTGGGATGCACAAAGGGTACTCTGAGTGTAACAAGAAAGTAAAACTTCAGAGTTTCAGGCTGAAATACTGCATCTTGTTTGAAACTTAACAAGTACATGAGGATATTAAAATTATGCATAAGACTTTACACAGACAGTCATCTTCACCTTTATGTAGATAAAGACTTATGCTGTCAATTGCTGAAGAAATGCAGTAAATGTTTGGGGGGGGAATTGATGTGTTTTTTTGGTTGTATTTTTTTGTTGTTGTTGTTGTTGGTTTGGGTTTCTTGTTTGTTTGGTTTTGTATGTTTAGTTTTTAGTTTTCTTTTTAATAAATGTTTTTATTTCATATGGCTTCTGGGAAAGACAAGCAATCTTTCTGATACAAGGGAAAAAAAGTGTGGTCGCTTATTCCAGGGTTTACAGTCCAAACCCAGTGTTGCTGCTTAGTTTTTGCAGCAGCAGAATGAAAGGTGACCGTGTCATTTTTCCATTGCTTTTCTCAGCTTATCTTTGGACAGCTGCAGGCTAAGTAAGTTTTGAGTAATGACAGAGGTACTAGAATGTCTGGTGGATTTGAGAGTGCGGTTTATACTTCTTGTAAAATAATAGTAAATTGTAGTATTTCAAGTTTTTTGTTTGTTTGTTTGTTTGTTTTTTAACTTCAGGAGGCTACGAACCCCCACTTACAAATGTTTTCACAATGCAGTGGTTTCTGACACTCTTTGCCACTTGTCTGCCTAACCATACAGTTCTGAAGATCTGGGATTCAGTATTCTTTGAAGGCTCTGAAATTATCCTGAGAGTAGCTTTGGCTATCTGGGCGAAGCTCGGAGAGTAAGTGGTCATTTTTATGTGATTTTTCTTTTTGGTATGAGCCGCGTGTAACTTTTATTTTCCCAAAGAGCATGTTCTCAATTCTAAACAATATGGAATCTTTCAGGAGAATGATTTTGTTTTGAAAAAGCTGCACAAAGGACCTCTATGGTTTCCCAAAAACACGGTATTCTGACATCATATCAGAATGGGCATGATAACCAACCTTTGCTGTAGGAAATGTCTCCAGTTGTTTGAGTTGTCTGTGTATAATGTCTTCATGCTGTGCTAAAAGGTTGGTTGGACTTTCCAGAACATAAACGTCTGAAGGAACTGGTAAATACTCTCTGGAAAAACACACACAGAGACTTGAGGGTGACTAGCTAACTTTGTTGGGTACCTGGAGATGTAAATTCTCTTGTTTTCACTTAAGGAGACTTAGGGATTTGAACCCATTTGCTACGCCCAATAAAAGAGTTCAGTGTTACTAAGGGAATGACTTAGTGGGACACAGGTCTTTTCTGTTAAGGACTGAAAACAAATTTTCCTGAAATTCCCTGCTTTTAAGCACATTTGAGCCAAGTTTCTGTCATAGTCCTTTAAGGTCTTGGAAACTCACCACATGGCCAAAACACGAGATGGTTAGTTCTTCTAAACTTCTCTGTTGTCACAGCAAATATTTGCATTCCAGAGAGTTTACAGTGCTCCCAGAGAAATGAGTTTTGTCGCTGGCTTCAGTGGGAGGTGTGAGCTCTGACAGGTCAAGCAGATGTTAGTTCAGCTGGAAACATTTTTCAGCTGGCATCAGCAGCTGCCTCAAATTTTCCTTGTGATGCCTCTTAACACTCACCTTCCTTTTTTCCCTGAGACCGAAACACTGGGATTTATGTTCGGCTCTGTTCTTGGAGGTGTTGCTTCATTTTTCTTACTGAATAAATTAGCACTGCAAGCCAGTAGCATTGTAAGAGGCTTTGTTTAGTACATTTAATTTTTAATCTGAAGAATAATAATTGTAATAATAATTTCCTGAGAGCATTTTTAATGAGTTCATACATGAAACTTGCTCAAATCATTTGCTTTAGGATTAAGCTATATGTAGTCACATAGGGCTTTAGACAAAAGGTCCTACTGCAGTGAGTCTCTGTACACTTAAAAGCTGTAACTGTGAGTGTTACAACCCATGATAAAAAGGAAGTTACTGCTTTGAAGATTTTACTGTAAAGTTTGAAGAAAAATTTAACATGTTTTAAAAAATGGAAATAAAAAGAAGCAAGAAATATATAAGAATATGTCCAAAAGAATAAGCTGATCAGACTGCACATTTTGTAACTGTTGTTTGTGGTGAATGGGAGGTCTGGTGAAAAACTGGGCATTATGTTTTTGCTCGGAGAAGATTGTGTTTTTTTTGTTTCTCTTTGTCCACCATTGGAAATAGAACAGGGGAGATTTAAAGAAGTGGGGCCTGAAATTATGATTGTTGTCTCATGATCTTCATGGTTTTCAAGACTATGGTTCTAGAAATGAAAATGTGGTGAGAAGTGCATTTTAAAAATCTTGGTGGCTCAGTTGTACTTCTGTTTTGAGGGAGGCTGAAAGAACAGGGAAGTTAAAAATAGATGCAGTGGAATAGGTGCAGTATGTGGAGGTCATGAGAGAGGAAAGGTATCGGGGAAGGTAAGCAGTAAGTTTGTGATAATTGGCTACATACCATATTAATTTTTTAATTTTTTTTTAGCTACGTAATCATTATTTTAACTAAAATATGTTAAGATTTCAGTAGGAGTTTCACAGTTCAATGGTTGTTCTGTACAGAGGCTGAGGATCAAGGAAGCATCTTCTTCTAAAGCTCAAGAAAAATGGCGCTGTATTTTTGTCATCATTCCAGTAGCTGTATTTTAGAGGAGCGGCTACGGTATGTAGCCATCAGTGCAGTTCTTTGGGATAGAAGTAAAACAAATTTTTCGCTTGACAGGAGAGATTTTTAGCAGCTGACCCTTAACATATGGAGAACACCAACACAAGCATATTACTCATATTTCTCTTCCTCTAGCAGACACTGGGTGATTCTGTGTTTTTAGAGATTTAAAGAAGACTTTGGGGGAAGAACCTCAACCAATTGACTTCTCTCCCTGTCAAAAAAAAACCCCAAGACAAATAAAAACACACTAGAAAGCAGACAAAGAAAAAGGCAAAACAAAAAACTTGGCATCTTTAATTTAGAAATAGGATTTGCAAATATGATGAGGGAATTTTCCTTCATTCTGCATTATGCTAGCTTAGTTCTTTTTGAACACAATGACATGTATATATACACCTATACTTAATTTATTCCACAGGAATGGTTTCTGGCCAGAGAATATGTTCCTGTCTGACAAAAAGACAGTTCAACCAGTAAATTCAGCCATCTGGTGCATGGTGAAGAATGGGTGATGAGGCAGTCAAGAAATCCTTATGCTCCCTTTTTGAGCTGATGAGAGGATCCCCTTGTGCTAATAGGAGACAGGATTTACTGATTCTTGTGTTGTAGAAGTGAAAGGGACAGAAGAATGGCCTGTCTGGACATACATAAATACCTTATCATGAGCAATCAGGACAGTAAGCTGTACTCAGTACGTCCTTTGTTTTACTGCACCAGCTTTTCCAATGTCATGTGTGCAATTTTATTATTTGGAAGTCTAAGCAGGATTGCAAATAAACTTAAAAGTTAGGCTGACTAATGGAAACGTGTATTTTATAATGATAAAAAAGCAGGTTTGGTTTACATATCATCATATGTAAAAGTAAAATAAAAACCAACATGTATTCTGATGTAGGCAAATAGAGTGTTGTGAAACTGCAGATGAGTTTTACAGTACCATGGGCAAGCTGACCCAGGAGATGCTTGAAGACAGTCTGATTGACAGCAATGAACTTATGCAGGTGAGTAATTGTGATATAATTATAGTTTGTGGGTTTTGTGTCATCCTTCAGATGTTGACTCCCAACAAATTACATTTTTGTTCAGATACTGCAGAAACCTAAACTCTCCCGAGAAAAAAAGTTTCAGATAACTGGGTTGAGCTGGCACATTAATGAAACAAATAGATGACCTGCAGTTAAAGCTCTTATTTTATGCATTAAATATAGAGAACCACTAGACTTCATTTGATAAAAATTGGTTCTATGTTGACATCTGAAAGTTTGTTGTGCTATAATGCCCAATTATAAAAATCCAATAAAGTACAATAAAATTTGATTTACACAAGTGAGATATAGAATCTTTTAGTAGTCATCATTTTTAGGGTGTTCTTTTGTCTTATTTTGATGTTTTGGTCAGTTGTTTATTGCACAATGTGCTTTTCATTCTGCAGACACTGTGGGAAGCAAGAGTTTATGCAGTGAAAAGGGAATAAAAAATCCTTCATGATTTAAAAAAAAGTGAAAGGCCATGAACAGTCATTAGTGAACTATAAACAAAGACATTTGTAGATAATTGCAGTCCCTGAGTTTTCACAGCATACATCATTGTATGAGAACGAAGACCCACATTGTTCTGGAAAAATAAAGAGCCTTTAATATCGCAGATAAAATTTATTTATTCATGGTTACACTTATTCTTGTGATATCTTTAAGGTGTTGTTTACTCTAGATGTTTTATGAAGATTTCATACTACACTCTTAGAACTTTCCTTTTGATGAGTTAGAGCATTGTGATTTAATGGATGCAAGTACAGAGCAAATAATAAACCTGAAATTTTGTACCTACCTTGAGGAAGGAAAAAAGTTGGCCTATGAAGTTGCATGAGTTTAATAACAGTAGTTAGCAGGTGACTTCTGTTACCCGTTATTGGAAGCAAAACTTACTGTCTGGGATAATACACTTCCCTAGTCTGGTAAAGTACTGCCCCGAAGTGTAAAGGATTATTTTCAGATTTATTATTTTGGTTATTGTTCTTTTGTCTGATGAGAAAGCTCTAGGAATGGGAGAGGTGAGTGCTGTGGCTTTGTTTTGCTTCAAAAATGGAAATGCAGCCGGTCAGAGCTACTCACATGCTTTTTAAAAGGAGTGTTCAGGTTCCTCTCAAGACGGTTCAGATACTGAGGATCTGTGAGGAAAGCAGTACAAGCTGAAGCCTTCTCATATTCATTGTGTTTCAGTTCCTGGTCTCCAGTGTGGTACAAAATCAAGATGTGATATTTGTGACAAAGAATATTTTTGGGAAAAGTGGACTTCAATGGCTCAGTGTGGATTTCTTTTTTTGCAGTTGTGTGTAATAGAAAATAGGGCATAGTGAACTTACTAGTTGTTGGGATGGAAGGATCGTTTTTGTTTTTTAACTTGCAATTACAGGTACACTAAATTAGCAGTCTTTTTGTGCTTCAGCAAAAAAATGAGTACTTGGTGCAAAGTATGTGTGTAGTCATAGCATATGTGTGTATTTTGTGACACTGACAGGAATGCTAAGGTAGGAAGGCATTGCCATTGATATGGAGGGTGTGGCAGGTTGAAGTTTTGTCCATAGAGAAGAAATGTGTTTGGTTTATGTGTGTCCTCTTAGTTGAGGAGACCACAATATAGTTTGATAACGTTCTTCAAGTCGAAGGCAGACACTGGCAGTGTAGCCATCTCTGAGGTCTTCACTCTAGGCCCTCTTTACCATAAGTGGAGAGAAATAGGTACTACAAGAGTTTACCATCAGGGTAGATGAATGCTATTTATGAATGCTATATCTGTCTGGTTAGAGAAGAAAATTAAGAAATATGAATCACTGCATTAATGAAAACACCTAGGCTGCTTGAACACACTGCTTTTTAAATTTCTTTAAACTTTTTCAGCGGAATCAGACAGAGACGAATGTTTGGACTGCTTTATTTTCAATTTTTTTTCTTTTCCCCTAATAAAAATCAGAATGATGAATTTACATCTAATACTTTTTACAAGGTGGCTCAAGGATTAGTAGCCTACTGCAGGAAAGGACTAATATCCCGCTCTACCTTCACTGGTGTTTCAGGAAAGCTTGCTAGTGGCAATCATCTCACTTTTCTTTAGACTTGCATAATACTTAGATTTGCATCTGAACTACTTGTCCAGGCTCACTTAAGCCAGTGAAGACTAACAGGCACTTCTCAACCACTGGGAAACAAATTGTGCTTTAAAAGGCTTGTTTCCTTTGGGAGTTAGAGGAGGGAGGGATAACTGATCCTTCAAGGGAAGTGTTGACAGAGCAGATGTCTAAAGCAGGTCAGAGGACTCTTGTCCTCATTCTCTCCACCAGCATATATAGTTGCTGTAAGTTTATCCCTCCTATGCAAGCAGTACATGTACCTTGGATTGAGGGCTTAAAGCTTTTGCAGATTTGGCCGTTGTGTTGCAAGGGTTATTAAAATGTTTTACTGAGTGGAGTGTGGAGGGATTGGAGGAGGAGGCAAGCCTACAGCTTCTTCTTTTTTCAGATTGAACAGTTTGGGTAAATAAAAGGTGAATGCTATACATCAGATTCTAGACAGCATATTTATTCAAGAGTAGGAGTTAAATACAGTATTCAGTAATGTAATTTTATTGGCCTGTTTATAATGGAGACAGAAGGCTGTACACCAGGTGTCTGCAGATATTCTAAACAGCCTGTGCTAGACTGAATCCATGCTTTCATGCCTTCTCAGAAAGCAAGCATTTTTATAAGCAGCTAAACTAACTCAGTTTGTACACCCAGAAACATTGAAGTGTAGAGGAGATGAGAAGCCAACAGGAAAAAGAGAAGCATCCCTGTGTATTTACTGGGATGGAGTGGAACAGGAATTAATCCTTCTATGGTACTCTAGCATTTTAGACTATCTCCCTAGACAGTTACCCTGACTTGATGGTATTCACTGTTAACTTCCTACTTGAATAGCACTTTTTGTGTTATCTTTTGGGCTTATTTTTGCATTTGCTTTTTGTTTTGTTTTTTTTCATGAAAGTGAAAAGAGAGAATAGCCTTAAACCAGCGCTGGTCAGCTCTTGAGATGAGTGTGTTTGAGCTGTCTGCAAAACAGCTTTCTCTCTTTTGGATGCTGCAGCCTGCTGTATGGTGTGCTGCTGAGGGTGTAGATGCCTTTGAATTTTTAGAGTAAGGCAGAGAATTGTAAAATGATTCAAGGTAAAAATAGGGGTTTTTTTCCTTGTCTCTTTTCTTATTCCCAGAATCTGTCCCCTATCACCATAAATAAGATACTAAGCTTGGCTGCATCATGCTTTGAGTATATAGGCCAATTCCCTCTGACGCAGTTTTCACCAGAATTAACCAAGTGGCTTCCAAGGCTGTGTACAAACTAGAAACAGAATACTTTGACACTGAAATGTTGCTGGGAGGATATCACAGGTGTTGATTGACAATATTTTTTTAATTTCCAGTGGAACTTGCATCAGCATAAAATTTGTTTTGTGGATCTCTTAGTCAGGTGGCAAGCAAGGCCTACAGTTACAATCTGATAACAAATAATTAAGCTAAAAATGTGTATGCTAAATGAAAGAAATTGTAGAGGATCTAGAAGATACACTGAGTGGAGACAAGCAAAAGCTAAAACATAATCTAAAACAGTAGGTACAAGGAGTAAGTGGAGGACTCGGAGTCAATGGTTTCACTTAGAGGGTAACTATCCTCTGAAAAGGTTACCTGAAAAGGCATAAAGAGTAGAAATAAATTCCAGACAAACTTCCTTCTCTATGAAGGGACAGAGTTGAGACTTATGGAAAAAAAAAACAAACAGGAAAGTATGGTGGAGATGAAACGAACAGGCAGAAGTGTTGGGCCAGAGGTAGGTTTTTCTCTGGATCATAAAATGCCTTTGTCTGTTAGACTGGCAGGCTATCACTGTTCAGGCCCTAGAGAATATTTTTCTTTCACAGTAGCACTGTAGTTTAATGGAGTGGCAAAACTTCAGTTCATGCTCTGGGTTTTTTCTAGTGAGTGAGTCTTGCAGGAAGTACTGACTGAATCATAAAACCTGACCGTTTTCTTAAGCACGTGAATGTGCAAGAATGTGCATCCTTTAATCCTGCAAGACTCTGAAAGTCTTTTCATGGAGAAATCTTTTGTGGGACTGTTCGTTAAATCAACAATTTTAAAAGCTTCTTTTCCCCCCCGCAGACTGTTTATACCATGGCTCAGTTTCCCTTCCCACAACTGGCAGAATTAAGGGAGAAGTACACATACAACATTACTCCTTTTCCTGCAGCAGTAAAATCAACTTCATTTTCAGGGTAAGTTTGAAATGTACTGCTTATGTCATATAGGGTTATTGTTTATGTAGAATTGAAAAGGCAGGTGGCACCCTCCCTTGTATGCTCTTAAAGAAGATAAAGATGTTTGGCAATGTTCATATTTAAGAATGTCTCTTTCTTAACTTCTCTTATGTTCTCATTTGACAGAAGGTTAGGCAGAACCAGAGACAGTGATGAAGAGAATGACTTAGATGATGAAGACTCAATTGCAAATGCAATTGGCTGTCTTGGACCATTAAGTGGGTTTTTGGCACCAGAGCTGCAAAAATACCAAAAACAGATGAAAGGTAAAAGTGATTTTGTTGATTTTGGAACATGTGGTTAAATCTGCATGGCCTTGCAGAAATTGTCTGTACCTTCTTCTGTGAAAGCTGCTATGGAAAATGTGTTTTATATGCACGTGGAGGTTACAGCAGGTACCAAATGACATGCTCTGCAGTCATTGAAGATGTCCTCAAAGTCGAGTTGGAAGGCTGTAGGTATACAGTAAATGACAGTGTGAATTAAGGACTTGGCTACAGTAATGGTTAACAAAACAACCCCATAATGTTGCCCACCAACAGAAAACCAAAGCATGGAAAACAGTCCACCCTAAATCCATGCATATTTCCAAGACAGCAGTCAAGTTGTCAGCATTTTCTGAAGAGTGTACATATAATAAATGATCTTGACCTTTTTTCATATATGCATGGCTAATACTGGAACCTCAGTATTAGTATTAGTATTCACAGTGAGTGAATTCTGCAGGTCATTTCACTGCCCTTTTGTCCAACCTTCAGATTGTTTTGGTTTTTTGATATATTCACATTTTTAAAAAAAAATTGGTATGGTTTAGGATGTTCTGACAAAATGCCACTACTTTTCCAATCCCTCCACATTGAAATAAAGTTTCTTGACAGAATTGTATGTATACCTGTGCATACCTCCTCTACAAGGAGAACAAAGTTCTGATCCATACAAGAAAAGCAAAGATGATTTGTTAACTTGTAGCAACCTTTCTGAAATGGTACTGGATTAACAGTGATTTCACAATATCCTGGGGAAGGCCATTGTTACTTATCCTCAACTCACCTCCACCTTACCACCAAAAAAAGCCCAGACTGATGTAGCAGTTGCTGTTTTCTGATTACACTTCGTTGTTCCTGTGTCTTCGTTTTGCTGAGACCTGTGAGCTGCAATTTTCCTCTTGATTACTGTGGTGTTTTGTTTTTCCCTTCCGGAGGGACTGTAAGACTCTACCTGCTGTTTCAAGCTAGCGCTTAGTCAGAACATCAAACTGCTGTTGCAAACTAAGCCAAAGGCAAATAAACATCCCTTGAAAAGAATTATCCCCCTGACCCTGGAGTGCCAGGTTGGTGGTGCATCAGAAACAGCTGTGAAAATAAATTGCCCTGCTGCTGCTGCTCTGCAGCTGTTGATTAGAGACCCTCTGAAGTTGTCTGACCCTCAGCTGCTCTGCACCTATCCCTTTTGTCGCTACTAGCAGCTTTCACCCTGTGGTGGTGTAACTGTTTCTTGATGGTATCACTAGGTCAGTTGTTTAAGCTCATGCCTCCTTGACTGTAAGGTATTTTATAACTTGCATTGTTGGCCTCTTCTTTGACCACCTGAGTGTCTTTAATAATCAGTTACTGAATTACTTCAGTGATGGTTTGATGTACTTTTGGATATTTGAAGAACTGTGCTTATAACTTGGCATTGCCATGTTAATCAACTTTTGTACTCTTTAACCTCCCCTCAGACCCTTGCTATTCTTAACCAGTAGTAATACTACTTATTGTAAATAACACAGCTTAGTTAAATGTACATATTATAATAAATTTTTAATTTAAGAATACAGTAAATAAGATGATAGGAATCAGATACAGAATTCCCCTGTAAATAATCTGTGGAACTCTCAAGTAGGCCAATTTATTCCTCACCTCCCCTTTATTCCCACCTTGTGCAGATCAGAATGAAGAACAAAGTCTCGGTTCCAGTAACATTGCAGAGTTAAGTCCAGGAGCAATAGACTCTTGCCGAAGCGACTATCATGCTGCTTTTAACAGCATGATGATGGAGCGTATGACCACTGATATTAATGCACTGAAAAAGCAATATTCCAGGATAAAGAAGAAGCAGCAACAGCAGGTTCACCATGTATATATCAGAGCAGGTAACATAATTGAAATATGCCTCATTTACTGATTTATTGCAGGCTAGCTTCATCAGTGGAGACAAGGCAAATGATAGTTTTTTACATTTAACCAAAAAGACAAAACAAGAAAGACTGATGGAATATATAGCACATTAGTAGTAAAGTGGGTATGACTTCATACAGACAGAAAATGAGAAGGTGATATTTTTTCTTCTTTTGTCAGGATCTGAAGATGATGACCCTGGGATTTTTTTAGGTCCCAGGGACCAACTGAACAATGGTATTTAAAAGTGTCTTTACTATCTGGGTGCATTGTGTTGTTCTCTCTGATTAAAAACTTTAAATCTTGGGCAGTCTTGGAATTGACATACTGAAGCACTGAAAAAAAGTAAATGGAGAGATGAGGATGCTTCAGACCATGTGGTCTGTATTATCTGAACTCTGAATTTTTCTGGGCCTGGCAAATTATGCAGCTCAAGGAACAGGCTTAGGTGTTCCGTTGTGGCTGGCACTTTACCTAGCTATAATGATACTGTTCTGAGGGCTGAGCTGGATGTCAACCTGGACTTAGCAATCCAGGTTGCAGAGTCTATTTCCCTTATTGGCAGACTCAACAATGCAGAGGTTGGCATGAACAGCACAGCTGATGGTTTTAGTGGGCCTGCAAGCTGAACACAGCCCACTCCATTCATTCTACCCCACTTTTTCTAAGTCAGCATTCAACCATGCAAATAGGTCACTGTGGAGAACTTTTATTTCTATTCTGGATTGTCTAAACCTGTGCTAGCAGAAGTGTTGCAATACATGGAGCTACAATTTTTCATTAACATAATTTGTTAGGAATTTTTTTAAAATATTAATGAAGTATTTGCTTTGAACAAAGGCTATATCCAACAGAAACAGTGCAAACAGTAAAATGTTGATTCCCAAGGATTGCCAACCTTTACCTTCCAAATACAAACCTTTCTAATCTTACTAATCATGATGCAGGACTGGGCTTCTAGTTTAATCAAACTTTCATCTAATTTCTAATTCTGAGCTAATTTCTAATTCTGAGTCTACTCCTCTGGTTTAATAAGATATGGTTTATCCATTAAAAGTACTTTGATTCATTCTCTAGTCACACAAGCCTCGTGGAGAGGCTTATTTTATTGACCATATATGGAGACTGAATTGCCTCTTAAAGTTGGAAGAAGTGCAATTCCAAAAATCAAGAAGCTAATTTTTTTATGATTTATTTTTATGGTCTTTCTGGCTCAGGACTTACCCATAGGTGCAAAGCAGGGAGGGAGAACAGAAAATCTTTATCATAGAAGGTACAGCTTTGTGTTCAACTCCAAGACATTAGTGAAATTCAGTGATGATTTTTAAGTTTGGGTTTGTTTTTTTTAAGTAAGCACTTAGTCCTACAAACCTTTGCTATATCTCAAGAAAGGCTTAAAATTTCGTGGTTAATCCTTAGAACACTAATTTGTTTTGTTTTTTAACAATACTGTGCTTCTTTTAAATGCTTTCTTTCAGACAAGGGGCCAGTTACCAGCCTCCTCCCTTCTCAGGTAAACCATTCCCCGGTGATAAACCACCTCCTTTTAGGAAAGAAGATGAAATTGAATAACAGGTCTCTCAAAAATGCTGTTATTCACATCCCAAGTCATGCTACAGGGAAGATGTCTCCCATTCCCCAAGAAGATCTTAAAACAAAACTCAACTCTCCATGGCGCACTCACATAAGAGTTCATCGGAAGAATATTGCTAGGGCCAAAGGCCAGCTGGGCTATGGGGATACCGTAGGACTGATAGATGAGCAGAGTGAGAGCTGTAAAACAAGTAGTCCTGGTGCAAAGGAGGAGACTTCCGAACATTCTGACTTTGGAGAAAGAGAAGGAAGTGGTTTGGATAACAGGACTACTCAGAAAGCTGATCAGCAGTTGTCTGAGCGGCTCTCTGGGGGCAGCAGTACAAACATGGCAGTGATTCAGCTAAAACTGGAAGCACTTGAACTCACCTCAGATAGCAAAACCGACGCTGAGTCAACACCCCGTCAGTCCAGCCAGCCACGTTTATCAGAGTCCTCCACTTCATCCAGAGACAGTGGAAACCTGGCTAAATTGCCCCAACCTGTGAACCCAAAGCCACAAGTCTTCAATCCTTTTCCCAGTGTCAAGCCTCTTCGAAAGTCAGCTACAGCCAGGAATTTAGGGCTGTATGGCCCCACTGAAAGAACGCCAACTGTACACTTCCCACAAATGAGCAGAAGTTTCAATAAGTCTGCCAGTGGCAACAGTGGGACCAGGAAACGATGAATACAAAAACTACAAAAAAATTGTATTACCCTTTTTTTTTAATGTATGCATGTGTATGTGTATCCCAGAGTGTTTCTAATCTTTAAGTAATGGAGACAAAAGTGGTTACCAGATGCATAAATAGGTGTCTTTGAAAATTGTGTTCCTGTGTTGTTATGGGATGGATTAGTGAAAATGTGCTCTGGCACCCTATTGTCAATTCTGATGGTCCTGTGTAAAATAAACATTAATTTGCAGTGCAAAGCATGCTGTTTCTTTAAATCTAACTCAGATATTAAATCACCAGCTGCCTTTAGCCCTTCAGCCCCCCATGGCTGCCTCCTGTCTTTCTGAGCTCGAAGGACAAATTGTCCAGTGCAGCAGACGGGTATAACAGTTTTCGTGACTGTTACGCAGCTTCCCCATTAGACCTCATCCTCACGCTCCATGAGAGCCAAAGAAGCCATGACTTAACAGAAGCACAAGCAGTCCTAGCAATCAAAAGTATCACTTCATGACATCTGGCTTCAGATGTTCTTTAAGCAGCATTTTGTGCTTCTCTTCCCACAGCAATTCTCTGCTGATACTGTTTTTAATATAAATGTAGTCAGTGAGCATGAGAATAGCAGACATAAGTCCATCCGCAACACTGATTTGCTCCTTTTCTGTTACATGTGTACATACATACATTTCTGTTACTTACTGCTGGAGAGTTGCAGCACTGTAAAATTAGGAATTAGGTACAACTATATGTGTAGTTGTATGATTATTATTATGGCACATCTTGGCTTCAATGGATTTAAAAGCTATTATCTAGATTAGATTTGTAGTTAAATAATAATTGCCAGCTTACCGGTAGGTAAAATATATGAATGTTCCAAAGTAGTTTAGGGTTTTAAATTCTTTAAATAGAGTGATTAGATACTTAGAGTGCCGCTTCCCATTAGAAGCCAACACATCAGCCAGTATGTTAATGGGATGGACCCACGGGCTTCCATGGCTTGGTTCCTTTTTGGTGTGAAAGAGAAATGGCAAAGTGATAAACTGAATGTTTACTTCCAAATTAAAAAGTGCAAAGCTGGTGAATATCATAAGACAAGTACTATGTATGTGTATATATACATATATATATATATGTGTGTGTGTATATATATATATTCCAGAGGCAGGCAGAGAAACTAAACGTGGATAATTCAACTTCAGGGTTGCAAAATCAAACACTCAAATTCCAAGAAATTCAGATTGCTCTTAAAATGTTGTAGCTCTGCTAAATTGTGTGTACTGACTGTGATTCATTACCTTACTTCCAAGTTTTCTGTGGCATGGAAGGGCCATAATTTGAAACTGGAGTAAAAGCTGTAATGATGAATCAACCCCATTGTATGTAATATCTTACTTCCTTTTTTAAAGTCTTTGTTAAATTTGAAAATTAATTTATTATTGTGTATTTATTAACGTATCCCATAACCTGTAGGATGTTATATCAATTTTACTGTATACCATAACTTATAAGCTGTACAATATACCCTGTTCATTGTTGTGGGGACAACAATTTTGCTGTTTTATGCAAGCGTGTGCATATAAAACAATATTCAAGAATGAACACTATAAATATAAAACAGGTGTAGATCAGATCTTGCCCCTGCCTTATTTCCGGGTTATAGTAGTGTTGTCACTAATGATTACTTTTAGTGCTAAGTAAATTTAAAATAATGTAGAATTTAGTCCCTGATCATGAACTGTATGTGAATTGTTTCTGCATTGATTTAGAAGAAATGGACTTCTCAAAAATTTTACTGTGAATCATCCTCCCCAGTTTTTCTTAGCTTCAGTGTATCATGCAGCTGTATGCTGAACCAGTAAAAATAAAGACTGTCAATCTGCAAAAACTGCTAAAATGTTGCAAATACATACATGAATTTTCAACATGTTAAGGAGTGATTAAGCAGTGGAAAAGCAGCAAGTTTTGCATGGATATAGGTCTTGGGAAAGAAAGCCAACAGAACACATTCTATTGATCCAGAACTATTCGATAATTGATGAGTGTGCACTCAGGGCCCTGTACTTGGAATGTTAGGATTGAGGCAAAGGAACCACAGCAACTCAGTGCATTAGTTTGATGATGCTTGCTGCAGGACATCTTCTTTAGGTACTGCTCGATGGGAAAATACAATTTCATTTTAGCTACCTCAAAGATACATTTCATTACCTCAAAGAATCTTCACTCTCCCTCTGAAATCTGCCTGTTGAACATACAACAAAGACAGCTTCATCACTTAGCACTGAGATGGAACATTAAGATGAGGTCTAGGGAACTCCAGAGAAGTTTCCCTTATTTTTCCCCAAAGAATCCCTTCAGCAAATGAGGTCTGATGATGAACTGAGGATGTTGGGAAGCATGTTGGTGGGACTCTCCTCCACTCCTCCATAAATATTTTGTTCTCCTTGAGGCCTCCGTGTGCTAATGCTCTCTTCCTTTTTTTTTTTTTTTTTGAGAAAGTATTAGGATCAGATTGACCTTCTGAGAATGTGTTTCACCATCATCACATGAAAGCTTTCAAGGAAGGAGCATTTGATTCTATTTTGAGGACACTTAACAGTCCTGCAAGTGGAAACAGGTCCAAAGCTATTCTGAGGTTATTTGAAATTGTCTGCACTTGGGTGGTAAAAATAGTATATGGTAGAAATCAGTTGTTCAGAATTACTGTCAGCAAACAGTTGAGAATACATCCTCAACTGCAGCTATAGCAAAAATTCGATTTTGTGTGCTTAACAAAAATCCCACCAGAATCCATTCAAAAAATCCTAAATGATTGCTAGAAAAGCAACAAAACATTATTTCAAGCAAAAGTAAAATGCAGCCCTTTACACTGATATTTCCAATTCAGGTAGATGTTCATGTTCAAAATTCAAGACTTAAAAAACTGTTTCAAACCTCCACAGCATGTATTTTAAATGATGTGAAATTGTTAATACAGAAATAAGGTGAGTGGCTTCACCATACTGTAGTTTTCCTTGACATTCTTTGCAATGAGTTACCTCGTGCCCATCCATGGGCAGCAGTTACATCTGGCTGAGTGGCAGGGAACCAATATCATCTGACACCAGCTCCACTGAAGCAGGAAGAGACAGAAATTCATCGTAATGCATCCCTACCCTTGTCAATTCTTTGCTCCAGTTTTACTCACTTTTGTTGGTGAAAGATTCGTTCAAGGCAGGGGGTTGTTGTGGAGTCCTGCAAGTGATGTGAGATGTGCAGTCATCCCAGACCAGCACCTTCAGCCCATGTGTCATCAGCCAGCAGACACTGGCCAGGTGGGTGGTTTCTCAGGCAGCCAGAAGCTGCTTGGACACCTTTGACCACCTCTGTGTTCTTAACATCATCCTTGGGAAGGTGTACTCCTCTGGGAGGGTCATGTGTGGGAGGGGTGGATCCAGCACACGGCAGGAAAGTGCCTATGTGAAGAGTGTCTTCTGCACATCCTTCCCCATTGAAGAGCCTTCCTTCAGGGCTTGCACAAGCTGACTTGGCTGATACAAGATTAACATGATTTAGGACATAGAAGTGGTTTGCAGTGTCAGACCATGTCCAGGCCCAGCCTCCCCTAGCCTGCAGGATGCTGCTTCAACTGTGCTTCATCCTACAAGCAGCACACAGCATTTACTGGCTCACCACAGATTTAAAAAGAACCACAAATGTTTCCAAGTCTTCTTCTGATAAAACCTTATCAAACCACACTGTCTTACCACAAATAAGTGGAGAGATGTGGTGGTGGCATGGGAGATGATGTATGTGGATGGAGAGGGTGGGAGGAGGGAAGGAGCAGCCTATCCAGGCAAAAAGTACAAGAAGTTTTGAGGGAAAGCAAACTCAGTGCCTGTACTGCTTTTTAGATTGTTTATTTGTAAACAACAGATCAAAAGATCAGATCCATGATGTGCTGCTCCCTGCTCATCCTTCCTGTGTTCAAAGTGATCATGGACTTGTGTGATGACAGCAAGATGCCACACCCTGTAATGATGTCCACCCACTTGGTAGTCCAATGGTGCTCCCAGCCTGCCCTGGCAGGAGGGAGATGCCAGTGGAGAGCTCTCTGATGAGGTTTGCTGTGGCTCGCTTGACACAGTGAGCCATCGAAAAGGGAGTGAATGCTCAAATACTAGCCGGGGTAAAATGTGCAGTCATTGCTGGCACATCTGACTTCTTTTCGCCTGAGCCAGCTTTGTGGGGAGGATGTGGTTGTGACGACACTGCCCCAAAACTAGGCTAGTAAGTGTTGCTGACTGTCAGGTGTGCCAGGCCACTGCTGGATGGATGTGGCTGTGCAACCCCAGGCAAAGCTCAGCGAGCTACTGCAGCTCTGCAATGCAGAGCTGACTTGCTAGCTCAGCCCAAAGGCTCTGCAAGCCTATGTGTGCTCAGAGCATGGTTTGCACCAGTTGGCAGGGGATCTGGTGTATATGTGCACTGCTGAAGCCCAGTAGCGCTGGGATGTAATTCTCTGTGTCTGGTGTCCCAGCAGCAACCCTGATGTCTGATGGAACGGGCTTCTGCGTGGTATATTTTTTCTTCTCTCAAGGATGTGTATGGTGTTTCATTATCATTTGTTGATTTTCTGATGTTTTTATAATTGTAACATGGGGAAATTTTTTGAGCAGTGCCTCATTTTTTGAACACTGGATCAGGAAAGACAGGTGCTTTCTGCATCACAGCACTCAATAGTTTTGCAACTATTCCTCTTGCTTGTGCCCTTTGTGAACACTGAAATGTTTCTTGCATTCATTGCCTGTGTTTGTGGTGAGCGTTTTCAGGAAGATAAGGATAGCCCTGCTGCTTGTCTTAGCCTAGCGTCTTTTCTCTGCCCAGTAATGGTTGGAAATGCCTAAGAAAGGAGTTCTGTAGGAATACAGTACATCCAGATACAGCCTTCTCTTGGGGCAGTCATCCGATTTGTCCTGGGTTGAGCATATCACACAGAGACGAGGTGGATGGCTGAGCCAGCAGCAAACTAGTAGCATGCTGATCTGGGCAGCTGCATGCACAGCAGGGACCACAGAGTTTCATCAGCAAAATTTCCTCCTTCACATGAAAAGAATAATAATAATGGAGATATGGCCAAGAACGAAAAGAATAATAAACACCAGAAAGCGTGAGCCTGAAGCAGCAGTTCTTTTGGTTCCTGCTGTGTGCCTGTTTGCCTCTGTGGGCACTGCTTGCACTTCCAGCCTCACAATTATTTCTCCCTTCCAGGCTGACTGTCCTTCTCTGGCTGGGGAGATACAATGGGACTGGGCTGGAGGGATCCTCCAAAGGGGCAGGAAGTAGGAACAGGCTGGAAAGCCTCACAGGCCCTCAGAGGATCAGATGTGGCTGAAAGCCCAGATCCAATGCTTCACACAGCCCATGCAGTGCTGAAGGGCTCACAGCCAGTACTTCCTGACTGGTTTTTTAGCCCTGTTCAGACACACACAATGGTGTTGCTCTGCTCTTGCACTCACTCCCTGTGATGGCTCTTCCACCTTGCTTTCCCTTCCTAACAGCTCCAGGGGAATCTCCAAATGACGCATGGGTACAAACATTGACCCAGACTGAAGGGCAGGTGCCAGTCAGTACAGACATACCACAAGGACACTAGTGGAAGGAAGGGGTTTGAGTAGCAAGAAGGAAGCAACTTTATTCTTACGAAAAGTAGTTAAGGTCTCTGTCAACCACCTAGCATAGGCATAGAAGTCCAGTGTTAAGACTTTGAAAGGCCAGAGATTGTCAGCTTGGCAGCAACCAGTCACAGGGAGAGGAGAGCTGAGCGGAGCCTTACAGGGTGTGAACTTGTAGTTCCAGGCAACGAAAGTGGTGTCAGAACTTGTACAAGTTTTTCACAACTGTGACTTACAATTGCAGCTTCCCTTACTCTCTTAATGAAATCTTTTTGTTAAATTGTTTTTTTTTGAGGGTTGTTTGTTTGGTTTTGTTGTTGTTTTTTGGTTTTCTGTTTAAAAATATATGTGGGTCTATTGCTCTGTTTTATCTGCGCCAAAATACAGCTGTAAACCTGATCATTGTAAGCTTGTTCTCACACTGCCAGCCAGCTACATTAGACATACATCATGCCCTTTTGAACTCCTGATTACTGCATATGATAATTTTTATACTGCTTCCCCTGGACTAGTAAACTTTTCACCCAGCTGCAACAATACTGTTCACTGTCTGGCCTCCGGTGCTCTTGGAGAAGAGGCTTCTCCAGAGGGAGCAGAAGGACTATTGCCTGCTTGGCAGAGTGCCAGGCGACTTGATATTGCTTGACACATTCTCTATCCCCACCAGCCAGCACTGAGTCACTGGTTTTCATACAGACTGGAAAGTGTTCCACTCATGCCCAAGAGACATTTCTGGCATGTGTGAGACACAGATTGTCCCACATCGCTGTTGAACCTCCAGGGCGATGTGATGGACAGAGTTGGGGGGGATTTCACTACTGCAGTTTGCAAGACATGATAGCATCTTCTGTGAAAGTGCTACAACATCTGGCCACAAAGATGCAATACTGCTGATAG